CACGTCCTCGTGACACAACTCAACGTTTGTGTGGAGCCTTCGGAAGACGAGCGTGTTTAAACATGAGAAATAATACATCAGGATCCTGCAGATCCTCAGAGAGTCCTAAAACTTCATTTGTTACAATGTTGCATTTCCTTCTTGGTTTGATTGGCTTTCACACGGCAATAGCGCTGCACAATATATCGAAATATCGCAAATGTATATATATCACTTTATAAATATAAAACATGAAATCCTTGTCACTGATCAGCTTTAACATGCATCCGTCAGTGAGTTAGCGCTCAGATTTCTGTTTCCGATTGTCCTTTCATAGCAGGAGCCCGTAGAGAGCGGGGCCGGTTGCCATGCCAACGCGTTTGGCGGGAGAGCGAGTGCAGATTGAGAGGCGTAATGAGTCGAGCTCGTTGGGCTTTACATCGCCGTATCTCCGGGACTGGAGCTTCTGTTCTAGGTGTTCAGATCGATTAGCAAACGCTCAGAAGACGCGTTCAAGGCAAATCATCCAGAGTCACATGATCATTCTGTCTTCATTACAGACCCACTGGATATTCTGAACCCGCATGACTTTATTTCTTCTGTGAAACACAGCGTTTAACAATGTTCAGTACATATATTTTGCTATAATTTGTTTCTCATGAACCCGCTGTCTTTGTTTGCATTTACATTTATGCTTTTGGCAGATGCTTTTAGCCAAAGTGACGCATTGAAGGTTTACACTTCATCAGGTCATGCGAATCGAACCCATGACCTTGGTGTTGCAGGCGCCATCTACTGTTTGAACTTCGTAAATACACACTGTTGAATTAAATCTGTTGTGGTCACTTCTGATGTCTGTCATTTCTCTGGACAATGTCTGTTTTGCAGGTTGTCTAGAGAAATGTCCCCATTTGCTCATTCATGCTTTGAAGTTAAAAAAATTGCATACAATTTAATAAAACTATCACATATGAATGTGGAAGAAGTCCTGTGTCTGCGTCGATGTGAGTGTGATATTCAGACGCGTCACGCAAGAAGCTTTTGCTTCCACATGCGTGAATAATGAATGGAAGCTTGTAGTGGCCCACTTCAAGAGCATCATGGGATTAAAAAGAAAAAATACAACAAATAAAATGTCTTTGACACTCAATACAGGCACTTGATGTGTGTTAATATCGATGTCCTTAACTAACCCAGTGCTTAATAAACAAGCTCTTAACTAACCCAGAAACAAGTGCTTAACTAACCCAGAAACAAGCGCTTGACTAACCCATAAACAAGCACTTAACTAACCCAGAAACAAGCGCTTAACTAACCCATAAACAAGCGCTTAACTAACCCAGAAACAAGCTCTTAACTAACCTATAAAGAAGCGCTTAACTAACCCAGAAACAAGCGCTTAACTAACCCAGAAACAAGCGCTTAACTAACCCATAAACAAGCGCTTAACTAACCCAGAAACAAGCTCTTAACTAACCCATAAAGAAGCGCTTAACTAACCCAGAAACAAGCGCTTGACTAACCCATAAACAAGCACTTAACTAACCCATAAACAAGCGCTTAACTAACCCATAAACAAGCGCTTAACTAACCCAGAAACAAGCGCTTAACTAACCCAGAAACAATCGCTTAACTAACCTATAAACGAACCCATAAACAAGCGCTTAACTAACCCATAAACAAGCGCTTAACTAACCCATGAACAAGCGCTTAACTAACCCAGAAACAAGTGCTTAACTAACCCAGAAACAAGCGCTTAACTAACCCATAAACAAGCGCTTAACTAACCCATAAACAAGTGCTTAACTAACCCAGAAACAAGCGCTTAACTAACCCATAAACAAGCGCTTAACTAACCCAGAAACAAGTGCTTAACTAACCCATAAACAAGCGCTTAACTAACCCATAAACAAGCGCTTAACAAACCCAGAAACAAGTGCTTAACTAACCCAGAAACAAGCGCTTAACTAACCCATAAACAAGCGCTTAACTAACCCATAAACAAGTGCTTAACTAACCCAGAAACAAGCGCTTAACTAACCCAGAAATAATCACTCAACTAACCCAGAAATAATCACTCAACTAACACATAAACAAGCGCTTAACTAACACATAAACAAGCGCTTAACTAACACATAAACAAGCGCTTAAATAACCCATAAACAAGCGCTTAACTAACCCATAAACAAGTGCTTAACTAACCCAGAAACAAGCGCTTAACTAACACATAAACAAGCGCTTAACTAACACATAAACAAGCGCTTAACTAACCCATAAACAAGCGCTTAACTAACCCATAAACAAGTGCTTAACTAACCCAGAAACAAGCGCTTAACTAACCCAGAAATAATCACTCAACTAACCCAGAAATAATCACTCAACTAACCCATAAACAAGCGCTTAACTAACACATAAACAAGCGCTTAACTAACACATAAACAAGCGCTTAACTAATCTATAAACAAGCAGTTAACTAACCCAGAAACAAGCGCTTAACTAACCCATAAACAAGCGCTTAACTAACACATAAACAAGCGCTTAAATAACCCATAAACAAGCGCTTAACTAACCCATAAACAAGTGCTTAACTAACCCAGAAACAAGCGCTTAACTAACACATAAACAAGCGCTTAACTAACACATAAACAAGCGCTTAACTAACCCATAAACAAGCGCTTAACTAACCCATAAACAAGTGCTTAACTAACCCAGAAACAAGCGCTTAACTAACCCAGAAATAATCACTCAACTAACCCAGAAATAATCACTCAACTAACCCATAAACAAGCGCTTAACTAACACATAAACAAGCGCTTAACTAACACATAAACAAGCGCTTAACTAATCTATAAACAAGCAGTTAACTAACCCAGAAACAAGCGCTTAACTAACACATAAACCAGTGCTTAACTAACCCAGAAACAAGCGCTTAACTAACACATAAACAAGCGCTTAACTAACCCATAAACAAGTGTTAACTAACTAAACCATAAACAAGTGTTAACTAACCAGAGGCGGACAGAGTACAGAGCTTTGTTACTTGAGTAAAAGTACAGATACCCCTTGCTAAATTTTACTCAAGTACAAGTAAAAGTACTGCATTCAGATGTCTACTTAAGTAAAAGTACTAAAGTACTTGTTTTTAAAAGTACTTGAGTAACAAGAGTACAAGAGTAAATTTTCTAAATATTGCATTACTAATCTACTGCCACAGTGCTTACATTTATGCACAGAAACGTCCTACATGGAGTTATGAAAAATGTTAATGTTAATACCTTGGAGAATGTAAAAGGAATTGAAAGTAAAATCAAGTCATTTTCATCTTTTTACCATGTTGCTTTATTTAATTTAATTAAAATTTTGGGGGGTCCCATCTTTAAATGCGGGGACAACACACACACACACACACCACATGTAAGGGTGGCGCTGCCAATAAAGCACCTAAAAGCTGTCACAAAGAACCGGCAAAAGGAATGATTATGAATATGTAAAATATAGCAAGGAGATATTTTAATTGTTTATTAATAAACACTTGTTAATAAACAAGTGTTTTCTTTGTCAGTGTCGGCTAGATGAAGTTGACGATGCTGACTCGCGATCTTCCGTAGTGAACGCGCCAGAGAGAAATGCACATTTCATACGGATTACATAAGCAGAGAACAGTCTGTAGTCTGTTTTCTTTCGTTTTGAATTTTTCTGTTTAAAAGTAGACATGTCTGTGAGAGGCAAGTAGAGGCTACCTTATACACTGAGTTTCGGTTCATTTATGAGACGAGATCCAGTTCACGTGCCGGCGCCTCCGTTTCTTATCTATCGTCTGCTATTTACTTCTTATTTATTAAACCCAGGCAATTGGTTGATGAAACATTGATTAAAATTAAGATACAATTAATGCAAAACGAAATTCAGGTTAAAGAAAGGTTTTGTGTTTTCTGTTTGATGTCTCTGTGAAAGTTTTAAAGCATTTTTAATGCCGCTTTCAGAGCGCTCACGTCCGTAACGGAGAACACATCCATAACATTGTTTTTTCCTCATAAATGCAAACCCGAAAAATAAAGGAGACTGAGTGCCAACCCTTCTTCATTCGCTGGGTAGTAGCCTACTTTGGTTTGCGCAGTGTAATTCACACAATCAGTAAAATATTTTGCCTCCTAAAGTTTTTTTTTTAAGAAATCAGAAATCCCTCGTGGCTACGCCACTGCCACATTTGAACCTGACTGTGTTAAACACACCACATACTCAAGAACATCAAACCAAATGCTTGGCTTACATTAATGTGTAATATCAAATCTGACCATGGAGTTGACTTTGGCAGAAAGCTGAAAGTGATTGCTGATAGGCTGTCCCAATCAGTGGCGCCTGCACAATCCAATCACGTTTGAGAGGGAAACAACAAATTGAGGGTTTCCGAGATTTTCTTTTTTTTTTTTACTCGGGTACTCACGTTTATGGATAGAAATGTATTGGAGTAAAGAGTACAATATTTGCCTCTCAAATGTACTTGAGTAAAGTCATGAGTACTCCCCAAAAATGATACTCGAGTAAAGTACAGATCCCTCAAAATTGTACTTAAGTACTGTACTCAAGTAAATGTACTCCGTTACTGTCCGGCTCTGTAACTAACTAACTAACTAACCCAGAAATAAGTGCTAACTAACCCATAAACAAGCGCTTAACTAACACATAAACAAGCGCTTAACTAACCCATAAACAAGTGTTAACTAACTAAACCATAAACAAGTGTTAACTAACTAACTAACCCAGAAATAAGTGCTAACTAACCCATAAACAAGTGCTAACTAACTAACTAACCCACAAACAAGTGCTCCAGCTGTGTCTCACTGCATCATTATTAATGTAAACATATTTAGTTAAGCGCTTGTTTGGGATTTAGTTAATACATCGATATGGATGCATCGATGCCACTGTAAAATATGGATATTACCGTTATTATAATAGCTTTATGTTGACCCTGGGTTAGTTCAGCGCTTCCGCTTGTTTGACTGGCTCTGTTCTCTCAGTCCTCATCATCCAGGGCTCGTCTCTCCAGTTCTCCAAGGAGCCGAAGTCTCAGGACGCGCTGCACGGGCGCAGTGCGATCCTGCGCTGTGAGGTCAGCGACCCGGAGAACACACACTTCTCCTGGACTCAGGACGGGCGGCGCGTGCAGGACTCGACCCGCCGCTTCCAGGAGGGCAGTAACCTGAAGTTCACATCCGTGGACCGACACAACGACACGGGGAGCTTCCAGTGTGTGGCGTCCAGCAGCGCCACCGGAGAGACACTCACCTCCAGCAGCGCCTCCTTCAACATCAAGTGTGAGTCAAGCAGTTAGTGCCGAACGCTGTACCGGACAAATATATATATATATATATATATATATATATATATATATATATATATATATATATATATATTTTAAATAACATTTTTTGTTATGATATGAATTTTTAATATGCCGCAATACCGGTGTATGTCGCTTAAAGGTGCAGTGTGTAATATTTTGGAGGATCTGTTGACCGAATGCAATATCATTGCATGGTGTATAAAGATCTTACTTAATGAACCGTTGTGTTTTATTAGCTTAGAACGAGCGGGTCCGCTTACATCCACATGTTTCTACGGTGGCCCTGAGCGGACAAACACGTTTCGTCACTATGTTGTTCTTCATGATCAGAAGCTGCTAAAGTCAGCAAGTAAAACACTGACACAATGATGAACAGGTAACAATAATATTCCCAATAACATCGTTTTACTGAGTAATCAAGTAAACATAATTTCTTAATTTATCTTTGTAAAGATACCTGATTGTTTAACTGGCTACTCTCTGCTGTCTCAGACGACATCACTTCCTGTTGGCCACCGTAACTTCTGTTGGCTGCAGTTCGCAACCTCACCACTAGATGCCGCTAAACTAACACACTGCACCTTTAAACACCTGGGAACGCTTTCACTGATGCACTGCTGTGTGTGTAACTGAGCGTAACGGTGAAGATGGAGAGGTTAAACTATAATCCATATCTGTCAAATTATATTACAGTGTTTCCCATACGTTGGTTCACAATATCAACACTGGCCGCCACTAATAGATTTTCCAAAAGCCTCTGACATCGCTGATAAACACGAGCACTATATATGAATGCATCATTGAAGGAAACTGACTGTCTTTAGAAAAGTCTTGATGTTATTTTCATTTAATCTTTCTTTATCTGTCCTGATAAAGCGGCGTTTATGGGTCAGCGCTCTCTGTAAACGGCATCATCTCGTGTGGTATTAATACCAGTGTGGCCTGTCTCTGCAGTACTCACTCATGCCAGTGAACAGGGAACTCAAGCCAATCCACTGCAGTATTTCCTCTCGCAATCAGTAGAAAATGTGGTTAACACACACAGTCATGCTTGAAAATGAAATAAAAAGTACCGTCATATACCGTGAAACCAGTATAATTTAGAAAAATACCGTGATATAAATGTTTGGCCATTTGGCCATACCGCCCAGCACTAGAAGTGTGTCACAGGAAGCCTCCGGGAACGAGGTCACGTTTCATAGGATCTCTCTGTCATTGTTGAGTTCTGCTCAAACTCTCTCTCTCTCTCTCTCTCTCTCTCTCTCTCTCTCTCTCTCTCTCTCTCTCTCTCTCTCTCTCTCTCTCTCTCTCTCTCTCTCTCTCTCTCTCTCTCTCTCTCTCTCTCTCTCTCTCTCTCTCTCTCTCTCTCTCTCTCTCTCTCTCTCTCTCTCTCTCTCTCTCTCTCTCTCTCTCTTGCGTGTCAGATTGCGTCTCGCCCTCAGCTGTGTAATTACTCCTGTCGAGATGATCAGTGTTCCTGCCTTCGCCTTTGATTTCCTGCCTAAATCTGTTGTTGCTTTTCAAACACGTTCATCTTGATTTCTCTGTTTCACAGTTCAGTTCTCCTCCTCTCTGTCCTCTATACCAGTGGTTCCCAAACCTGTCCTCACGGCACCCCAACACTGCACGTTTTCTTTATCTCCCTAATCAAACACACCTGATTCAACTCATCAGCTCATTATCAAATGGGTTAATGAGCTGATGAGTTGAATCAGGTGTGTTTGATTAGGGAGATAAAGAAAACGTGCAGTGTTGGGGTGCCGTGAGGACAGGTTTGGGAACCACTGCTCTATACTATGGTATGCTGTTCTCAGCGTGTGATTGTGATGGTGTTGATGTGTGTCAGGGCTGGAGAGGGGGCCGGTCAGCATGAAGGATCCCGCCTCAGAGGCGGAGCTAGAGGAGGCTGAGCGAATCGTGTTGCAGTGTCACATTGATGGACATCCACGGTGAGTCGAACGTGTGTGACGCTCGCACTAAACCAGCGCTCCACATTCAGTAAATTAAATTAGAATAATAAGACACTATAGGGCTGTTACCAATCAAATTAAATCATTTACACTGAAAAATTACAACTGCATTTAATAATGTTATGAATAAATGTTTTTTGAATATACAAATAAGAAATGTTGGAAAGAAGGATAGTTTTAAACACAAAGGGCGGCAGGGGACCGTCTTAATGAGCGAGTCATTGAGTCATTTATCCAAACGATTCGTTCAAACGGCTGATTCGTTCAGTAAGGGGCGTTGTTTATGATGGGTCATTGAATCTTTGACTCAAACGATTCGTTCAAACAGCTGATTCGTTCAGGAATGAAACACGGTTGAGTGTTGCTGTGAGACCCGCTGTGGTTCTGCGGTGATATGTGGAACATTATATTACATTATATATGATATTATTATGCACTATCAATCCTCGCTTGCACTAAATGAATGCAGAATCATTCTCGTGTTTTGGTGATTTAATCAGGCTAGTTGTCGTGTCGGGCAAGTGTTCATTGTCACGTGGCGCTGCTGAACTCATCACATGACTGAAGAACAGCTGTGACTGATGCAGATGCTGATTCTGAAGGTGTTTCTGACCCGTCCAGGCCCAGCAGTAAATGGTTCAGAGATGGAGAACAGCTGGCCGGGAAGGACCGGATCCTCACGCTGAACGACCTCAGCCCAGGGGATTCTGGGATTTACTACTGCTGTGCTCGAAATGCAGCCGGACAAGTGTGCAGCGACCACAACATCACGCTCAACGTCATCGGTGAGGTCACGAGCTTTCACCCCTGTGCGACCCCTTGTGGACATTTCTGTATTTTTCAGTTTTGTCTTTTTGATTATTTCACCTTTTGGCACAGGTGTGTATTTTTATTAGAATTTTATTATTTCCCCCCCATTTCCTTTAATAAATCTATTTTACACCAGAAACACACAATAGTTCCTCTCAGGACCTTAAGGACAAAAATGCCCCCATTGAAACCCATTAAAACTGCAATTTTTAATCCCAGGGCCATTTAACTATAATATGATGCAGTATTTGTTCATAGGCTTTCATTCTGTTGGCAAAGCTTAAACATTTTAAGTTTTACTATTTTTTATCAGATGTGCCATTTTCTCAGGTTTGGCCCATAAAGCAAATACTCGCTTTATTCCTGTTTTCTGCTTCTGCATATTATAGAGCCAATCGGATAAACTATGCAGCGATAAGTGTGTGTGTGTGTGTGTGTGTGCTGGTATGCATGTCAGAGTATGGTTACCTTTCTTTTTTTCTTTTCTTTTCTTTTTTACTTTTTTTACTTCAACAAAAATCTTTAAAATGAGACCAAACTTAAGTCTGGACTGACAGTTTTCATGCATAAAGACCAGATTTATATTATGAAAATTAATAGTATAAATAAGCGTGAAATAGTATTAGTATTAAATTTGTATTGTTTTAATTTTTTCTTTAGATCCCAGGTGTAAACCCTGTATTAGAGTGTCAGCGCGAGCAGGTTTAGTGCAGGGATGAATCTGAGGTGTGTGTTTAGTGCACAGATGAATCTGAGGTGTGTGTTTAGTGCACAGATGAATCTGAGGTGTGTGTTTAGTGCACGGATGAATCTGAGGTGTGTGTTTAGTGCACAGATGAATCTGAGGTGTGTGTTTAGTGCAGGGATGAATCTGAGGTGTGTGTTTAGTGCACAGATGAATCTGAGGTGTGTGTTTAGTGCACAGATGAATCTGAGGTGTGTGTTTAGTGCACAGATGAATCTGAGGTGTGTGTTTAGTGCACAGATGAATCTGAGGTGTGTGTTTAGTGCACAGATGAATCTGAGGTGTGTGTTTAGTGCACAGATGAATCTGAGGTGTGTGTTTAGTGCACAGATGAATCTGAGGTGTGTGTTTAGTGCAGGGATGAATCTGAGGTGTGTGTTTAGTGCACAGATGAATCTGAGGTGTGTGTTTAGTGCACAGATGAATCTGAGGTGTGTGTTTAGTGCACAGATGAATCTGAGGTGTGTGTTTAGTGCACGGATGAATCTGAGGTGTGTGTTTAGTGCACAGATGAATCTGAGGTGTGTGTTTAGTGCACGGATGAATCTGAGGTGTGTGTTTAGTGCAGGGATGAATCTGAGGTGTGTGTTTAGTGCACGGATGAATCTGAGGTGTGTGTTTAGTGCAGGGATGAATCTGAGGTGTGTGTTTAGTGCAGGGATGAATCTGAGGTGTGTGTTTAGTGCACAGATGAATCTGAGGTGTGTGTTTAGTGCAGGGATGAATCTGAGGTGTGTGTTTAGTGCACGGATGAATCTGAGGTGTGTGTTTAGTGCACGGATGAATCTGAGGTGTGTGTTTAGTGCACGGATGAATCTGAGGTGTGTGTTTAGTGCACGGATGAATCTGAGGTGTGTGTTTAGTGCACGGATGAATCTGAGGTGTGTGTTTAGTGCACGGATGAATCTGAGGTGTGTGTTTAGTGCACAGATGAATCTGAGGTGTGTGTTTAGTGCAGGGATGAATCTGAGGTGTGTGTTTAGTGCACGGATGAATCTGAGGTGTGTGTTTAGTGCACGGATGAATCTGAGGTGTGTGTTTAGTGCACGGATGAATCTGAGGTGTGTGTTTAGTGCAGGGATGAATCTGAGGTGTGTGTTTAGTGCACGGATGAATCTGAGGTGTGTGTTTAGTGCAGGGATGAATCTGAGGTGTGTGTTTAGTGCACGGATGAATCTGAGGTGTGTGTTTAGTGCACAGATGAATCTGAGGTGTGTGTTTAGTGCACAGATGAATCTGAGGTGTGTGTTTAGTGCAGGGATGAATCTGAGGTGTGTGTTTAGTGCACGGATGAATCTGAGGTGTGTGTTTAGTGCAGGGATGAATCTGAGGTGTGTGTTTAGTGCACGGATGAATCTGAGGTGTGTGTTTAGTGCAGGGATGAATCTGAGGTGTGTGTTTAGTGCAGGGATGAATCTGAGGTGTGTGTTTAGTGCACAGATGAATCTGAGGTGTGTGTTTAGTGCAGGGATGAATCTGAGGTGTGTGTTTAGTGCACGGATGAATCTGAGGTGTGTGTTTAGTGCACGGATGAATCTGAGGTGTGTGTTTAGTGCACGGATGAATCTGAGGTGTGTGTTTAGTGCACGGATGAATCTGAGGTGTGTGTTTAGTGCACGGATGAATCTGAGGTGTGTGTTTAGTGCACGGATGAATCTGAGGTGTGTGTTTAGTGCACAGATGAATCTGAGGTGTGTGTTTAGTGCACAGATGAATCTGAGGTGTGTGTTTAGTGCAGGGATGAATCTGAGGTGTGTGTTTAGTGCACGGATGAATCTGAGGTGTGTGTTTAGTGCACGGATGAATCTGAGGTGTGTGTTTAGTGCACGGATGAATCTGAGGTGTGTGTTTAGTGCACGGATGAATCTGAGGTGTGTGTTTAGTGCACGGATGAATCTGAGGTGTGTGTTTAGTGCACAGATGAATCTGAGGTGTGTGTTTAGTGCACAGATGAATCTGAGGTGTGTGTTTAGTGCACAGATGAATCTGAGGTGTGTGTTTAGTGCACAGATGAATCTGAGGTGTGTGTTTAGTGCACAGATGAATCTGAGGTGTGTGTTTAGTGCACAGATGAATCTGAGGTGTGTGTTTAGTGCACGGATGAATCTGAGGTGTGTGTTTAGTGCACGGATGAATCTGAGGTGTGTGTTTAGTGCACAGATGAATCTGAGGTGTGTGTTTAGTGCACAGATGAATCTGAGGTGTGTGTTTAGTGCAGGGATGAATCTGAGGTGTGTGTTTAGTGCACAGATGAATCTGAGGTGTGTGTTTAGTGCAGGGATGAATCTGAGGTGTGTGTTTAGTGCACAGATGAATCTGAGGTGTGTGTTTAGTGCAGGGATGAATCTGAGGTGTGTGTTTAGTGCACAGATGAATCTGAGGTGTGTGTTTAGTGCAGGGATGAATCTGAGGTGTGTGTTTAGTGCAGGGATGAATCTGAGGTGTGTGTTTAGTGCACAGATGAATCTGAGGTGTGTGTTTAGTGCACAGATGAATCTGAGGTGTGTGTTTAGTGCACAGATGAATCTGAGGTGTGTGTTTAGTGCACAGATGAATCTGAGGTGTGTGTTTAGTGCACAGATGAATCTGAGGTGTGTGTTTAGTGCACAGATGAATCTGAGGTGTGTGTTTAGTGCACAGATGAATCTGAGGTGTGTGTTTAGTGCACAGATGAATCTGAGGTGTGTGTTTAGTGCACAGATGAATCTGAGGTGTGTGTTTAGTGCACGGATGAATCTGAGGTGTGTGTTTAGTGCACGGATGAATCTGAGGTGTGTGTTTAGTGCACGGATGAATCTGAGGTGTGTGTTTAGTGCACAGATGAATCTGAGGTGTGTGTTTAGTGCACAGATGAATCTGAGGTGTGTGTTTAGTGCACAGATGAATCTGAGGTGTGTGTTTAGTGCACAGATGAATCTGAGGTGTGTGTTTAGTGCACGGATGAATCTGAGGTGTGTGTTTAGTGCACGGATGAATCTGAGGTGTGTGTTTAGTGCACAGATGAATCTGAGGTGTGTGTTTAGTGCACAGATGAATCTGAGGTGTGTGTTTAGTGCAGGGATGAATCTGAGGTGTGTGTTTAGTGCACAGATGAATCTGAGGTGTGTGTTTAGTGCACAGATGAATCTGAGGTGTGTGTTTAGTGCACAGATGAATCTGAGGTGTGTGTTTAGTGCACAGATGAATCTGAGGTGTGTGTTTAGTGCACAGATGAATCTGAGGTGTGTGTTTAGTGCACAGATGAATCTGAGGTGTGTGTTTAGTGCACGGATGAATCTGAGGTGTGTGTTTAGTGCACAGATGAATCTGAGGTGTGTGTTTAGTGCACAGATGAATCTGAGGTGTGTGTTTAGTGCACGGATGAATCTGAGGTGTGTGTTTAGTGCACAGATGAATCTGAGGTGTGTGTTTAGTGCACGGATGAATCTGAGGTGTGTGTTTAGTGCACAGATGAATCTGAGGTGTGTGTTTAGTGCACAGATGAATCTGAGGTGTGTGTTTAGTGCACGGATGAATCTGAGGTGTGTGTTTAGTGCAGGGATGAATCTGAGGTGTGTGTTTAGTGCACGGATGAATCTGAGGTGTGTGTTTAGTGCACGGATGAATCTGAGGTGTGTGTTTAGTGCACAGATGAATCTGAGGTGTGTGTTTAGTGCACAGATGAATCTGAGGTGTGTGTTTAGTGCACAGATGAATCTGAGGTGTGTGTTTAGTGCACGGATGAATCTGAGGTGTGTGTTTAGTGCACGGATGAATCTGAGGTGTGTGTTTAGTGCACAGATGAATCTGAGGTGTGTGTTTAGTGCACGGATGAATCTGAGGTGTGTGTTTAGTGCACGGATGAATCTGAGGTGTGTGTTTAGTGCACAGATGAATCTGAGTTGTGTGTTTAGTGCAGGGATGAATCTGAGGTGTGTGTTTAGTGCAGGGATGAATCTGAGGTGTGTGTTTAGTGCACGGATGAATCTGAGGTGTGTGTTTAGTGCACGGATGAATCTGAGGTGTGTGTTTAGTGCACGGATGAATCTGAGGTGTGTGTTTAGTGCACGGATGAATCTGAGGTGTGTGTTTAGTGCAGGGATGAATCTGAGGTGTGTGTTTAGTGCACGGATGAATCTGAGGTGTGTGTTTAGTAGGGCTGCAACAAACGATTATTTTGATAATCGATTAATCTAACGATTATTAGAACGATTAATCGACTAATCGTCGATTATTTCGCAGACTAATCAG